CCTCCACTTCGCTACATTCTTCAGAATGTCCTTCTATTTTCGTATCTTGCTCTTCGTCTGTTACTGTCTTCCTGTTCCTAGTAGTAGTTCTTTTCACCGTGATATACTCCACATCGCTGTCATCTTCCTCTGATTCTTCTTTACTTTTCGATCTTCTTTTTGACTTATCCGCTTTCTCGCCGCGTCGTTTCTTATTCCTGGCCCAATTTGAATCGCTGGCGTCTTCTGCCACATCCGCTTCGTCTTCATCACTAATTTCGCTGAACGTTTTCCTACCCCCTCCTCTTCTTCTCCACCTTCTCCTGTTTCGCCTTTCACTTCCACTATCCCTGTCATCGCTAAATTCGTCGTCCCGTCTTTTTCGCCTGCGTTTCCTCACGTCACTCTCAGCACTGTCACTAAGTCCGCCAGTTTTTCTGACGCCCCTCCTCCGTCGTCTTGGATCTTCTTCGACGGTTTCGCTGTCGACGTCGTCAACGTAGTCAGTCCTGTGGCGCTCTCTGCGTCTCCGTCTCCTCCGTCTTTGCGTGCGTTCTTCTGCGCTGCTGTCATCGTCAAATCTGCGATGTGTGTAGATCACAGGGGCATCGATTCGCTCCACGTGACGTATCGCAACGTCATCATTCATTCTTACCTAAAAAAATGCAACAGTTTCAAAAATCTTGTTACTATAGTTACCGCGTTTTTATCTCCATTATTACTGTTGTTCATATCCACTTCGTGGACGTTACATAAGAAATGCGGAAGAAACAGGTTGAAAGGCTCGGAAATATGGGAAGATTATTTGAGAAACAGTGTGGAGGATGCAATCAGAGGGTCCGGTGACCTTGAGCCTTCTATTGTCAGCGTACCTGAAGTGTCCTGCCGTCCACTCTTCTGCTCGTATCGTTCAGGGCTGCAACGTGTTCACCGAGAGGGCTCGTCCCTAGCGAGGTCCGTCCTCCTGGCAGGGACAGGGTCGCGGCGAACTCCGGGGTTGTGAATTGCTCTGACTGTGTTTCGGACATTGCACCCCTGTAAGCCATCGAGTGCAAAGAACACGTTTAAAAGTGAAGTTTCTGTAATACGCTAATAGTTTGTTATGCCCTATATGTCCTTCGTATGTAATAATAGCAAATTACCCGCTAAGAATAACGGGAAATTAAGTAGTAAACACACACAGTCATATTATCCCGTAAGTCTCAAAATTCCTTGTCCAACCCAGCCTCCTCTTCAATGGGTCCCGGGGTCCTTTCCCGGGGGTAAAGCCGGCCGGGGCGTGATGCTGACCACACCCCCATCTAGTGCCGAGGTCAAGGAAGAGAGGAGCTGTACCACCTCTCCCCTTGACCGCCTATATAGCGCGCAGCGGGACCGCTTTTCTCTTACTCAAGCTCCCTTAACACCAAATGGCCATTAACCATCCAACCAAGTTCTCAGAGGCGCAGATTTCGTCTCTGGTTGACAACGGTCCCGCCTCCATTGTCGCTCCATTTGTAATCAACTTAATTCCGAGTAGTTTCGGTCTAACCTCCCCCAGGATATTCCCCTGGTTGGCCTTTGATATGGTATGTCCAGATGCAGACCTTTGGTTTCCGCCGCGCAGGCGCGCCGACTTCTCCGTGAGCTTGCTGGCAGGGACCCCCCCGTGTAACTGCAGGTACTTGGCGCAACCCCTGTTGCCCCGATGAAGAGCCGCGTCTATGGGTGTCATCAGCTGACCCTTGCTGGTCCTCATGACAGGGTTTAGCAGCGCCTGGCTGTCCAGCAGAATCTGCAACACGGCTTACTTTATAACCAAAAACATTAAGTGTTTCTTAGTTACACATTATAATAATGTTAAGTGGTCACTCTATTTATTTGGTTGTATTCAATATTTAGCTTCGTTTTTTAGGTCAGCCTTTAGTTTGGATTTCTGGTTTGTAAGTTTCGTCATGTATTATGTGTTTATAAAATAGAAAAACTACTTTCTAATCATCCTTTGTGATATTCGTAGTCGGACTCTTGCATATAAAACAATTGACACTCCTGTAATTTGACTTCAGCAGAGTATTGGACAGTGTTCGCCGTGCGAGTGCGGCAACTTCTCCGACACCTTTATGAGGCGTGTAGTTTAAACAGGGTCGTTAGGGGCACGGAATAGGAAGCAGCGTTGTAGCGGTCCGCTTTGTTACGGGATTAAATCTTGAGACCAGTTTTAGATGTGGCTAATATAAGAGCCTTTCTCTTTCCTTCATATGTGTATTGACGCGTTAACTCGGCAGAAACACGTGTAACTTTTATTTATCCAAAGTTTATTTAACGACGCTTTCAGTTTTTCAAATTAGGTAATAGTTCGAATCCTATGATTGGTGATTGTAAAGGACATTCAAAGAAGTGGCCGTGAGCTATTTTAAATGCACTACCACGGAAAGAAACCATGATAACCCTCAACATGTGTTGTGCCCTGGCTGAGATTTGAAGTTAGGTGTTTCTAGTTATGTTCTAATGGCCGCTTAAGACTTTAAAGCACAATAGTAAATATATATTCCACCTGTATTATCAACCAGTAATTCTTAATTTTGTATTGTTTTGTGAAGTGTTACGTATGGAGTGTCGCGCTGTATGGAGCAGAGACTTGGACACTCAGGAAGAAGGAGCAGAAATACCTGGAGAGTTTTGAAATGTGGTGTTGGAGAAGAATAGAGAAGATCAGGTGGACGGATCGAGTGACCAACGAAGAAGTATTGAGGAGAGTCAACGAGCAAAGAAACATTCTGCAGGCGATTACACGAAGGAAAGCTAACTGGCTGGGACATATTATGAGAAGGAATGGGTTTCTGAGTGATATCATCGAAGGCCAGGTTGAAGGAAAGCGAGGACTGGGAAGAAGACTGGTACAGCTAACCGACGATCTGAAACAAGGAAAGAAGATGAAGTTCCAGGAATTAAAACGAGAAGCCGAGAATAGGGACAACTGGAGAGCTCTTTTTGGGCAGAGCAATGGACCTGTCGTAAGACAGAACACTTAATAATAATAATAATTATTCACAGAACAAACAGTCATTAATATCTTGAACAACTGTAACCAACCAATCTTTGTAATGGTGAAGAGATGTGTTTTCTTCGCGGTACGGACTGAATTCTTACGTATTTAGATGAGCGTCTGTTTCGAATTATTAAATTGAATTGTCAGTATTCATAAATCTCGTTTCCTTTGCGTCAACGTGTGCCCTGATGTCAGACAGGGTCAGACTGCTTGTAACAGTTAACCCTCCGCACCTTACACATCTCCACGTTGTTGTTGATGGCCGCGATGTGCAACGGGCAGCGGCCGTCGTTGTTGGGCGAGTTGACTGCTTCAGGTCTCTGGGTGAGCAACCAACGCACCAAGTCCTTGCGACCTGATACGACGGCTTCGTGCAGCGGGTAGTCTCCTCTCACGTTACGCACCCAGAGGTTGGCGCCGTGAGTCCCTAGGATGCGCAACGTTTCTAGCTGGCCCTTAGCGGCTCCGCAGTGCGCAGGCCTGATCCAAACAAACCATTGACTTTTGATATTGGAAACCAAACTTTCTCTTATTAGACTTGTACAAAGTATGTATACTGACAGTATATACGTTCCTCAGGCTCCACAAATCTGCTTAGCATGTCGTGTGTTTACGTGGGAGAAGACCGTACTTAAGCTACACACACAAAATATTAATGTAGACTTTGGACAAACCCAAGAAATATGAAGTGGGGGGGGGGACGATAAACTCACGTTCTCCCCTTGCGGTCCTGTCGGTTGGGCTCAGCCCCGAAGCTGAGTAGCAGCTGTGTCGAGTCGGCGTGTCCCAGCGTCACGGCATAGAATAGCGCAGTGCATCCGTTGCTGTCTATGACGTCCACATCTGCGCCGCAGAGAGTCACCAGCGTCTCCAAGCAGTCGGTGTGTCCTCTGCTGGCCGCGCAGTGCAGAGCTGCACGCACGCACATCTCCGTGTTACCACACACTCTGACATTTCACGATGGCATTGACGATCTCTTAAAAAATATGCAATGGCTGGGATGCTGTCCAAATTGTATGTACCCACCTGTTAGTCCATCCTTGTCGTCAGCCTCCACATTTGCTCCGGCGTTCACGAGGGCCAAGATGGCGTCCGCGCTGCCTGAATGACAGGAAGTACTGGAGGTTGAGTCTGCGTGCAGCGAAAACACGCCGGTAGGTGGCGAAGCTCACCCGATTAGTAGCAACACAATAGAGAAACGACACACAGCTACATGGCTCCCGACAAAAATACTTTTAGCTATGTTTGATCTAATGTGTAGCTGTGTGTACACTATAAACCTAGAAGGATTTTCAATATAACGCGTTAGGTAACTTCAGAGCCCTTAGCCAAACTGTGTTCAGGTACCATAGAAAGCACCAACCATGCTTGCTAGCAATGTCTTCAGGTTTGAACAGTAAGAAGGAAATTAAACATTTCTCTCTTGATCTGTAAATTAATAGCTGTTGTAGAAATATGACGTGTAAAAGGGGAATAATTTTATCGTGAGACAAAATCAGTAAATGATCAATAATTATTTATATTCATTTAAGAAATCGGCTGGGTGCAGATAACAAAGAGTATTCGTGAGATGTGTGTTTTATGGCAAATGTTGAGGATAATTTATAATTAGCCCGGGGAAAAAATCTGTCACGAAATAAACTGACCTACACACCTTCGAGTCAAGGGCATGCAGACATTTTGAGTTCACACGGCAGACAAGTAATCCATTATAGTATACGTCTAACGTCAGTAAGGATTATTAATCTAAACGCCACTTCGTAGAAATGATTTGTCACAATGGTGAATAAATATTACTGACTTGAAGTGATGAATTGCAGTTTCACAAGCCCTCCAGTCCATTACAATAACCTTATTTTTTTTGAATCCCTGTATTTTTTACTTCTGTTCATAAACCATAAAAGTACCTTCCCTACTCACGGCAGTGTTCATACACACACAGAGACAGAGACATTTTCTTCTGCTCATAATATAATACAAGGATCTTTTCTCTCAGGACTTGTGAAATGTTCAGCTGATGTTCATCCCTTTACGTGCGTTTAAACAGCAGACAAGAATCATGCTAATACAAAGCCTGCCTGAGGGATATATTTACTCGTTCGTATTATAAATATATTTTTAAGCGAGGATATTGCGTTTGTGCGGGCCCTGAATAAATTAAACCACCTGTATTTGCCACAAGACAACTAAATAAGTGCATTTAACATGTATTAATGTAAGACTACGCTGCCAATACAAGGCGGTCGGTTACATGACACCTTAGTGATCGAATTTGTAAGCATTATCGCATTATCCAACCTGCACTTGCTGCCCACAGAATCGGTTGTCGGCCATCTTTGTCCCTAACGTTGACATCCACACCTTTTGCGAGTAGTTTACGTAACACCGCCAGTCCAAATCTGACGTCGTTGCCCATCTCAGAGTTTGGTCCGCACATCTGAGCGGCGTAATGGATAGGGTAGCCACCATGGATGTCAGGAGTCGATGGATTGGCCCCAGCGTCTAGGACCAGCTCGAGGGCCTCAACTTCCCCACACACTGTCAACAGGTTAAACCCTTCACTGTTTCACATCGCACATTGGCAACTATGAAGGGGTTGTTATTTTCATACTTAATTAAAACACGATGCCTTAAAGACGTATTATTTTATTTAGTGTTCTGTCTGACGACAGGTCCATATGAACAGGATCCTTCGATCCTTTTCTCGGACTGGGACCTGTTCATATACGTTCTTGGCAGATGATCCAGAAGTGGTTTGCCATTGCCTTCTTCTGTGTGTGAATGGAGTAATTGTTGGGATGCCACGGAGAAACCGGGGAAGCCCCCGGAGGAAAACTCCGTGTTGCCTAGACCACGGCCTTGCCCAACACAAGTTATAAATTCGGGCACCGCCGGGAATCGAACCCGATACCCCAGGATTACAAGGCCAGCGTTCTAACCGCTAGACCACCGTGGTGGTCTTAAAGACGTATGGAAGTATAATTATCCCCACGCATTCTAAACCTCAACGCGATATGGATATGCTTCGCTGTAATTCCCAATGGACTGGCATCATCAGCTCGTCTTAACATGTCAGTATGCTCTACTGTATAAACAACATTACATGCTATTGAAATCAATTGACTATTTGTCTGAAGAAACTTAAGAAAAAACAACGTCGAGCCTCGGGATCCAAACCAGGGACTGCACCAATACGAAGGACCCTTAACCTCGATGTTGTTTGATATCCGTCTAGTGTCAAGGCTAAAAGTGTCTTTCCCCCCGTGTTCAACTATTTTATTTTTGTAATTTTCTCACAGGGTCAAATTTATGTTCATTGCATGCTCATTCGCTCAGCATGTTAGTCATTTATCATTGCGAATGGCTTTTAAATCAAATACAATCTGAAGGTAATAACTAACCTGCTATAAATGTAGAGCTGATGAATTGTAACTACCATGGAAACACTTGAAGTGTAAGAATTTTTTTTGTGTATTTGGGTATTCTTTAGTTAATCAAAATTGTTTAAATTAATTATTCGGTTTTGTCCGTCTAATCACAATTATATTTAAAATTTTAAAATTTACAAGTAAGATAATTAAAATATCATTTTATGTTCCACATCGAATAATCGATTTACATTTGGAACATTTTTTACAACATGTTTCGGTTTCATCGAACCATCTTCAGGTGTAAAATTATATCAATAAACTTAAAACTCAACTACAATTTCTGTTGTGTAGCTTTTTGGAGATGTTCATATGATAATTTAATTATCTTATTTGTAAATTTTAAAATTTTAAATATAAATAAATATAATTGTGATTAGACGGACAAAAACCGAATAATTAATTTAATATTTGATTCACAATATGACGCAATTATACTATTTTACAAAATTGTTTAGTCACATAAGTGGTTCCTGTGGTAGAAATACCCTTGATAGTGACGCATCTCGTGCCCTTGTGACGTTTGCGTGACGTTCAGCAATGATCAAAGTGTCAGGTTCTTGTCTGCTGCAACTTCTCGTGACACGAAGTCTTGAATAAATTTCTCATTTTGCCTTCTTTAAAGTTTCTCTTCACCGTACTTTCGCAACTTCCATAGCGTTGTCCATTAGCTCTTATAACCTCCTTCTTTTGCTGATTTCATCTTGTTATTTGTCTCTCTTCGTAGCGATGTTTTTATTATTTGCACTTCTGCATTTATCACTCACACTTACTCTCTTAGTTTATTCATACACCCGTTTTAAAATCACCTCACGTAACTTTGAATTCGATTTTATTTAACTAATTTGAAACTTTCTCGACGTACATAAAATCCATCACCTATTTACAGCACGTCTGTCTTGTCCAGAACGAATTTAAACTTTATTTGAAACATGAGACAATCTTATTGGATTTATATCTCATCTTATTCGTGGATATATTAAAATATATTTTCTGTAGCTATTGTCCTAGTCTGTTTCTTTGTATATTCAGCTGTAACCCTTCTGAAAGCAATTATAGATACACAGAGGAAAGCCAGCGTATCTGTGACGTTTCAATAAATAGTCAATTTCTTTTATGTCTGTTAATTGATGTATAGTTCATATTACACTGAAAGCAAAGTCACGCGTGCGAATGGAGTCCAGTTATGTCTTTTTATATTCAGGTAACAGGGTCTACAGGCGCTAATGTTTTGTCAGGATCGTAAATAGAAGACTTGTTGGTGTCCTGCCATCTCCCCCCCCGACCCTCGAGTCCGAAAGGCATTGTTCGTAATGTCCCTTTGATGTACTTCAGAGGAATTTTCAATAACAGGTGTGCAGTGTATGTTCCGCGACCCAAATGTGTTTTGAATAAACATCGATTATCTCCTTATTTCTGATTAAATAAATTAGAAAAAATAAATCCGTACCCGTTATTTCTCACGTGCAATTTAGGTGATTTACCGCTACCGTAACCTGCTTGGTATTTATTAATATATAAAATGTATTTTTATTTATTTATTTAGTGTTCTGTCTGACGACAGGTCCATATGAACAGGATCCTTCCATCCTTTTCTCGGACTGGGACCTGTTCATATACGTTCTTGGCAGATGATCCAGAAGTGGTTTGCCATTGCCTTCTTCTGTGTGTGTGAATGGAGTAATTGTTGGGATGCCACGGAGAAACCGGGGAAGCCCCCGGAGGAAAACTCCGTGATGCCTAGACCACGGACTTGCCCAACACAAGTTATAAATCTGAGCGCCACCGGGAATTGAACCCGACACCCCAGGATTACAAGGCCAGCGTTCTAACCGCTAGACCACCGTGGCTATATAAAATGTCTATGAGCTAAATATTTTCTCCAACCTCCTACTAACTTTAGCTTACGAGGTGCGATCGGAAAGTTTAAAGACTGTGTCAATAGAGGGCGAACCGGATGTAGTACGAGCTTCTGCCTTTAGAGGGTGCGGCCTACATTCATAGTGAATCAGTGTGCCAGCTGGCATCATCGAATTAGCATTTCTTTCTTAGTTACGGGCGTTTTGGTAGTGCATTACACCGACCCTCCTGCGATTTCGGAATGGCGTGTGCATCAAATTTTGCCAAAGACTCGTCAAAACGGCTACGGAAACCTATGAAATGCTAAAGCAAGCATTTGGGGAGTCCGCAATGGGTCGTGCACAAACTTTTGTGTGGCATTCACGTTTTAAAAATGGCCGAACCCCTGTCGATGATGACGAGCGTTCTGGACGACCATCTTCGAGCACAACGCCCGAAAATGTTACCAAGATTCGGCAGGCCATTCACGAAGATCGACGTCGTACCATCAACGACTTGTGCGACATTGCTGGGATAGGCTATGGGACCTGTCAGCTGATTCTAAAGGAAGAACTCCACATGCGAAACCAAGGCTCCTGTCTGAGGACCAGAAGCAGAATCGACTTCTCGTTTGTCAGGAACTCAAAGATCTTGCAAGAACCGACCCAAACTTCCTTTCTAAGCTGAGATAAGTGTACTGGTTTTTATAGGCGCAGTCTTGAAACTTTCCGATCGCACCTCGTATGATGGTCCTGCAGTTCGTTGTCGAATGGAAATATCAGACGCACTTAAAACTATGCTCGCGCGTGGTATTGACTCATGTATATTTATACATATTTGTTTGTGTTTGTATGTTTGTGCGGACGTGTGTAATCACAAAGGTGGATACTGTGAACATGAGTTATGTTGATTTTGTCCGAGATAATACGAACTGAGGCAATGGGTGTGGTAAATGGTCTTGAATAGCTTGTGTGTTGTCACAGTGTCTCCAATATCTAGCCACTTTACCTGTGTACCTCTGTGTTTATCTGCGAAAAGCTCCCATCAACAGAACTGGCATTCCTACGTTTTCATGTAGGATAATGGACATCGTGACGAAGTTGGTATGTTAAACTAATGTTGTTTTGAATGTTGGCGATGTGTGATACCGGTTTAACATTCTGATTTACAAGATAATAAGTAGGAAGACACTTTAAGACACTTCGTGTCGGGTTTATGGCGTGTTCTTATCACTGCGGAGTGCTTCTTGAAATCACACCGTCCGTCTTTACGCGTATAACAGCTCGAGACCGGCGGGACAGATTCCCGCGAAATTTTATATCCGCGGATTTTGCTAAAATTATGTAGAGCTCTTTGCAGAAGTGACTGCGTGGGAAATCCCCCTCCCCGGGAAATTTCCGTCATTCACTAAGGTCACGTACTTAGTAAAAGCGCCATAATTAATACGCTATGCTTATGTATCCTAACTTGTTCTTTATTCAGAGGACACTCCTGATCCCAATTGGAAAATCGAATACAATCTCGACCGAAGCCATCTCGTGGCTGCTTCATCAAACTATGAAAACCGTCGTGGCTTGTAGATTATGTAAATACACTGTATCAGCTGTAGATGTTATTTAACATTAATACTGTGGAAAGATGATTACTTCTGTTAAATATTGAAGTGTTTGGGAGGAAGAGGTCGTGGCCTGTTTTAAATATGCTACCCCCAGAATTCGTCTAGAAAGCCACAAAATGTTGTAAGATAGGACAGCTGGTTGCCCGACCAAGATTGAAACGGATTATATCGTAAATGCAAATCTAAACTGTTGTCGATATTTCAATGTATTCAGTGATCAGCCCTTTAAAGTACAGTGGTATCTACATGTACCACCTGATCTGATATTAAAGAATTATATATTTCACCCACAGAGTGTATTTATGGATTTCATATGGTTCTCAGAATAAGCAGCTATTATTTTTTTCTAAGTAGCATTAACCAGTTAGTTGAGCTTCGTAATGGTGAAGAGTAGAGTTTTCTTAGCGGTACGGACTGAAATCTTAAAATAGTGATTAGACGAGCTTCAAGCAAATTGTGTGGCTAGCTCGTCGTTATTGTTATTATATTCACGAGCCAAAGTTTATATTTTGCAAAATCAATAAGGAGCTTTCATTCATGGACGGCTTCAAAGTGATTTACTTTGCTCTGTGTAACAATGGCCCGGCGATGTTTTGTGATGTGTGTCTGAAATAGGATGAATGAACTTCAGTTCCTACAGCATTTAATGTGTTTGTGTGTGTCTCGTTACAAAATAGCGTTAATGTGTTATAATTTTAATAAAGCATGCATTATAAAAATTAATCAATATTCAAGTACATAACCGTTCATTTTCTTTGACAAGAAAAATAAACACAAATGAACAATTCTTTCTGCTGAAAAGTTTCTAATCATAGTTGCCAAATTTAATTAAATTCCTGTTATGTGTGGCTAAATATTTATGCATTCAGCTACTTCCGAGTAGATAAATAAGGTAAGATCTGAAACTCATGTAAATTGGAGTTTATATTCGCTGGATATACCTAAGCAAACGTTAAATTTTCTCAGATACTTTTGGTGTAGATACCCCTTCATACCAAATTTATTCGAAATGCGATCAGTTGCTTCGAAAGCGCACGCACATACGCTGTTGCTCGACCATGATTGTAACAAATTATTTGAGTCGAATGAAGACGTTGTAGCCTATTATCGAATATGCAGTAAATCACTTGAAACTGTGAATCAGCTTTACTGACCGCCCACTCAGGGCCGGCGCCATAATTCCAGTTCGTCTTGCATGTCCTGCAAACTGCAATGGACGTAAAATTTGCGTGTTCCCTGCTTTCCATTTTGTTTGCCAAGCACTTCTACCCCCACTCACGTATTCAGAATCGCTAGTGGTCTACAGGAAATTCATTTACATGTTTCTCCGTCCGTGCAGTGTTCTGAAGATCAATATGGAAAGAAGTGACCTTGGTGCAGTACTGGCCCTTCTGACGTCATAAATTGATTTTCTTGTAATGGTTTACTCGAACATCGCACTTGATATTCTTTGTAAATGGTTTTGGGAAGTTGTGAGTAACTTTCGGTGCGTTTTTGGACCAATACAAAGCGAAATTTTGAATATAAATGCGTTCGTTTCTACACATTTAAAAATAAACCGAAAAGTACTGAAACAGCAGTGAGAAATTGTTCAGCCCTATCTCTTTGTTGAATCGTTTAATTAAAATTATAGGATACAGTATTTTCATATTAATTTCAGTCTTTTTGTAGTCGTGTGTGTTACGCTAATCATTCATTACTAACTCAAGCTTTTTGGTAATCTGGGAGTCCCTTTTTTCTGCAAGACATTCCCCCAATATTCTGTGTAACCTGTTGGACCCACAGTAACTAAGACTTACCAGTTGCCCAGTGGACCACGGAATGCCTCTCATAGTCAAGGCTGTTGACATCTGCATTTTTGGACATTAGGAACTTGATGAGGGGCCTGTTTCCCGCGATGACCGCCAGGTGGATGGGCGTGTAGCCGTCTTCGTCTCGAGCGTCCACCAGGTCACGTGCTGCTGACAGGATCATGTCTGCGCACGTGAGGGAGGCGCTCTCTGCACAGTAGTGCAGTGCCGTCTTCATAGTTCGGTCTCGTTCCGTGGCTGCGCCCGGCTGCAAATTATGAGCGCATTGTGTTGAGTTCTGTCAGTTCCAACTCCCAACCTAACCTACTGAATGATTATTGATGGTATTTCCGGGTTTTTGCCTTCACTAAATTTTGATGAGTGAAATTAAGTTTGATTCGCATCGGACCAATATAACCTTATCATCTACTCTATACGAAACTCTTGCCAAAATTTTTCGGTGACGAAAAGCGCATTGTACATATCACGAGTATATGATGTGGCCTGTAAATCTCATTGATATCTGTTGTATAGCCGGTCTCCGGACCGAGATTACAACACGGTACCTCTCCTGAATACGAACCACGAGTGTCGTCTGGTCGGCCGAAATTTTGATACCATTTTTGTTATTGCATTTAAAGAAATATAAGAAAAAACAATGTTTGGATCATGCAGCGTAATGTATTACCTAGTTTATTTTAAACCCTGTAACAAACTAATCTTTTATACCGTGCAGTCTGTATGACACTCACATTTTTGGCGAGGATGTTCCTCACATCTTGGTCCCTGGATTGCTGGCAGGCGTACATGAGGGGCGTCGCACCTTCGCCGATAGTGTTCATAGGGGAAACTGGTCTGGAAGGCGTAGTAACAGCTTGCGGGTTGGAGCCTTCATAGCGGGCAGGGCTTTCAGCCACTGTTGACGTCATCACTGGGTCGACATCTGACTGGACACGAAGCACACGGTTCCGAAGGACCAGTGTTAAAATTGGATTAATCATTGATTTTATTCCACTTAAGCTCATTCCGAAATCATAGTCATCTTTTTTCAGTTCCTACCCGCTGTCTACTGTGGCATTTTGAAAATCTACACTATACTCGCTAATTCACTAACTTCCATTGGTGACGTACGTAATTCTTTGGTTAATTAAAGTGTCTTTAATTTTTGTATTGAATGTGTTATATATATGTTTTACGCAGCCCGTATGCTTTTCCTAAAATGCCACGTGTGTTCGGCGGACCCGATATTGTGCGAGTTTTATTGGAATAATATGAACCAGTTGGGAAACACATTATGATAGGGACTTGCAGAGTTCCGATAGCAGCCTTAGTTTATAAACACGCGATTCCACTTTTCGTTTCAATAATTCAGAGATAAAGTTCAACTTATCTTTGCGTAGGAGTAATGATCTGTTTTTGTCATCTTAGTGTGTTGAACTCTGTGACAAAACACACCACAGTAAGAAGCGATGACCTTCATGTACAGTAGGTTTAGCCCCTTGAACTCCGGCGAAATGTGAGGTGAAATATTAATAAATGCTATCGTCTGTCCCTTTCTATCTTCCTCCGCACTTAGTATCTTTGCTTTATGAAGAAACATATGTAGGTAAGATAATAAGGGACCATTTTCTTCTTATATTAACACTAATGCGTCGTTAATTATGTACGTAACATATACCATACTTCACTATCGTCGTTGGCTGTAGGAGGAGAATTGCACAAGACATTTTCTACCAGCCACGTTCTCGTGGAGGTAAAGATGCTGTGTTGGCCTTCTGGATTGTAGCGTCGAGTGGACTTGTACGTAGATACCAGCGTTTCGGAAAATATACGTCTTCCATTTTCAGGGCTGAAGAAGTCGGAAATGTTTATCCAAAACGTCTGCATGGCGGAACAACTTAGAAGACCAACATTGTGGCATTTACCAGAGGGAATTCAGTGAATCACAGACCTCAGTACAACCTTCGCCTCTGTTTGCAGCACAGAACGTAGACCATCCAGCTTAGGACTTAGTGTCCTGTCTTAAGAAAAGTGTGTAGGTGCTTTATCCGCGCTCCTCCTCTTCCGTGCATGACATCGCCGTGCTTGGGGTGACCCAGATCCTTCTTAACACGTCATGTAACTTATTCATGGCTACTGGACTGGTCAATACTGGCAGGTCGGCGGCACTTGACATGCAATCCGTTAAGTACGAATAGCAAGTACGCTTACACTGCTCGTGAAATTGGACCCTGAGGATCATAGCGTCTTTAGTATCGGTGAGGGCGTCTGAGGACAAAGCGCTGAGGTGAATGGCTGTATCGAAGAGCGAGGAAGGAGGAGGAATCTTATAACTGACGTTCAAACTACATTTTAATGTAAGATTTGGGGTTTTCGCAGCGGTGAGTATGAAGATTTCTGTCTACTGGGTATATTCATTTCCCTGATGACGGAGGGAGTATTACCTCTGAAACGTTGGTTAACATCGACCAGACTACAGAGCGCAACAACCCAGAAGACAGAAATCTTCATATTTTTTATCGCCCTGATGACGGAGGCAGTATGACCTCTGAAACGTTGGTTAACATCGACCAGACTACACAGCGCAACAACCCAGAAGACAGAAATCTTCATATTTTTATCGCCCTGATGACGGAGGCAGTATGACCTCTGAAACGTTGGTAAACATCGACCAGACTACACAGCGCAACAACCCAGAAGACAGAAATCTACATTTTAATACATTTTAGAATAAATTGCGTAGTCACAAAAGAGAATTTTAAGCCTTTAATTGGACGTGAATGTTAATTGTATTGATACTAGGGATATTTTTGTGATATTAATTACACACCTACCATTCTTGTAATTAGTTGGTTGATTCTTAAGTTATTTAACTGCGCTGTTTCATATATGTATTTTATATAGAGTTTAATGATAATGAAATGTAATATATTTGAATTACTGTTCCTAAATTCTTATGAAAAGGTTGAGAAATACCATTACCGTTGGCAGTGATAAGATAAAGAAACGTAATGTATGCATAAAATTATTTCAGAGCTGCGTCTAAGTTTTCATTTCTATTTCCTGTCAACCTTTGTATTCAGATGGGAGAATTTAAATTGCGACATGCGGTACATAGATTCTTTCTGAAACCCATTTTCTTAACCTGTGTAACTCTTGCCAGGAAACAGGGAAACTCCTGAGCACGTTCCACTTAAGCATCGCTTCAGAACGTACCGAAATATAAATCTTATATCCGTTTACAAACGACTCGAGCTTCTTCATTTGTGAATTGGCCTGCTTTCCCCTGACTTATTAAAGAAAATCTGCGATGCCCAAGGATTCGGCAGGCTTCTGGATGGAGGAAAATGAGAACTGAAAGTTACGCCCTAGATTTCAGGGCTTCGTGTTATCAGGAAACCTTTGAACAACCATC